AGATGAACACTGTTAGAATTCTTTTATCTTATGCATCTAATCTTGATTGGGACTTGCAATAGTTTGATGTAAAGAATGCATTTCTTCATGGAGACTTAGAAGAAAAGGTGTATATGGAAATTTCTCCTGGATTTGATACTGCACAGAGTCAAGGAAAGGTATGTTGATTGAAGAAAGCCTTATACGGACTATAGCAATCCCCCAGAGCTTGGTTTGACAGATTCGACAAAGCAATGATCTCCTTTGGTTACCAATAAAGAAATGCTGATCACACCCTCTTCATAAGACATCAGATAGGTAAACTCATTATTCTCATAGTTTATGTTGATGATATAGTAATGAAACGAGATGAAAAAGAGGAGATGTCTCGATTGAAGAAGTTGTTGGCACATGAATTTGAGATCAAAGATCTAGGAAAATTGCAGACTTCTTGGGAATTAAGGTTGCTAGAGCCAAAAGAGGAATCTTTATTTCTCAAAGGAAGTATATTCTGGATCTTTTGAAAGAAACTGGTATGACAGGTTGCATACTCGTAGAATCGCCCATTGAAAGCAATCACAAGTTATAAAGCGGAGTTAGAGAATTAGTTGATAAGGAGAGATATCAAAGGCTGGTTGGAAGACTTATTTATCTCTCCACACTAAATCAGACATAGCCTATTCAGTTAGCCTGGTAAGTCCGTTCACGCATGATTCCCGAGATCCTCATATGCAAGCTATCTTTCACATTTTGCGATATCTGAAGTCTGCTCCAGGGAAAGATATACTTTTCTCCAAATATGATCACCTCCAAATAGAAGCCTTTACAGGCTCGGATTTGGCTGGATCTCTAGATGACAGAAGATCAACATCCGGACTGTACGCTCGTAGGAGAAAACTTGGTTACTTGGAGAAGTAAGAAGCAAAGTGTAGTTGCTAGATCAAGTGCGGAGGCAGAATATAGAGCTATGGCCCAGGGTGTTTACGAACTGCTTTGGCTACAAAATCTACTACAGGAATTGAGACTGTATGAAAAAGAAAAACTTTCCTTCTACTGTGACAATAAGGCTGCCATCACTATAGCTCATAATATAGTCCAGCATGACCGAACAAAGCATGTAAAAATTGATCGACACTTCATCAAAGAAAAAGTTACAACTGGTGTCTTGAATTTATTTCATGTGCCATCGGACAAACAGCTAGCCAAACTTTCCATACTTTGAGTTGCAAGTTGGACATGTGCGACATCTTTGCACCAACTTGAGGGGGAGTGTTGATTAGCATGATTTAAGGAGACTTGATTTAGGAGTGTTGATTAGGATGATTTCAGGAGATTTGATTATATTTAGTAGATCTGATTTTATTATGATTTTATTTGATTTGATTTGATAGCTGGATTGATTGTATAGATTTATTTTATTTTCTTAATTAACATTAGGAGCTTTGTATAAATTTCCTTGCTCATGGGATGTAAATATACACAAAAATACAAGAAGCCTTTTCTTCTTCTCAAAATCTACAAAAAGTAAGCATAGGGTAAAAAGTAAACATGGGTTAAATTTTTTTTTTTTTATAGATGTAGCAACAGGAGCACTGAAAATATGAAAATTTGTCTCCACATATAGTCCGAACATAATTCTTTTTTCTCTTTAACAATAATCTTCATTATCTTCAAATAGTATGTCGTGATCTAAATGCGCATTGAACATGTCTTCAACATTGGTCTGAATCACTGGTTCCGATATCACTTGTTGGTATCGAAATAACAAATCATCATGCCAAAGCTTACAAAGCAAATACTGAACAATGATAAATCCGACAAAAAAAATAATATTTTAATATGATTTGGTCAATCGACTTATATATGATAAAACTAATATAAAAAAAAATATCAAGAGAATAATCTTCCCCTAAACAAGACTCTTTTAATGGCTATATTGTGTATGTTATTATAATATTGTTGCACGAGAAGAAAAATCTTTAGGGAATCTTACATAAATGTCCTAAATAAGTCTCAACGTACCAACCTCTAGCCATTAATCATAGATTTACCAAAACTAGCCAAGCATATATAAATATTGAAAACCCAAATAAATAAAGTTCTTTCTCTCCAAGAATCACACGCAAAGATCTCCTTCCATATTTTTAAGCGTGATTAGCAACATTAGATGCAAGACGTAAAGAAAATTTCATGGATGAGGTAGCAAATAAGGTGATGAAATACAAAAAAATATACATACAAGATTCCAAAAATCTAAGCAAAAAAGGACCTTTTTCAATAGGTATGGTTGAAATTCATTGAAAACATATGAATCAATCAATATACAAAATTTGAGAAATATTAGAGGTGATTTGGACTGATTTTGTATCAAAATTCGTAGTGAAAATCGAGTTTAAAAAATTCTTTTACGACACAAGTGTCAAACATGTATCACGCATGTATCTTACATACAGATATACATGTGATACACATTTGATACAAATAATACATATGTGATGAGCAAATAATACATAGTGTGATACACATATCAATTTTTTTCATGTTCATCTTCTAATTCGAATTTTCAATTCAAACCACTTCAAAACTCTACCAAATCATCCCAAAACTTAGATTCAAGCTCCTTAAGATGTACCAATCTATTCTAATAACACCCACTCAAAAGAAAGCAAAAATTTGACCTTTTTTGCTACAAATAACTAATTGGCTAATGATCACGCCCAACTATGACTTATAAAAAGGACAAGCGGTCGTTGCAAATATAATCCGAGTATTTAGTCCAGAGTCGAATCCCACAGGGAATTAGCCTACCAGTTACTTTTGTCAGACTCACTTAATTCTTCGTAATCAACTTCCCAGATATTTTGAATAGCAATTGGTGATATTCTTACAAACTATAACTGACTAAAGTTAAGTAAACTAAAAGCTAACTATGACTGAGTTGTAAACAAATAAGAGAAGGATCTATGGTTGTGATTTCCCCTATTGATGGAATCCCTTCCTGTTATGTTTCACATAGATTTGCCTAATCGTCTCTATCGATCATGAGCACTCTTACTACCGTAAATTTCTCCCAAGTAATTACGATAATTTACTAGACGCACTCTCCCGAGTTACGCTAGCTGGCTTTTATTACAGCTCACTTAGATCGCACCCAAGGTTTCGTTATCCCTAATCCCACCTTTAAACCCTCGGTTATTGATTCCTCATGTACTTTGGGAGTGGTGTTGTTCAACAACTACCTAAATATGCACTCTCTCCTGAGTAATACATATTAAATAGGCACAGCTAATTGAGGATCCTATCAATTAACTACAATAAGAACGTAGTTGAACAAATAGAGATTAAACTGGGCAAACTATATTAACACAAAGTTCATCCTTCAACAGGTTCCATCAAAACCCTAGACTAAATAATTAGCTACTCATAATCGTGTTCATAATAACAACAGCAAAATTCATCATGAATGATAAATACAAAAGGAAGAAAGGCAGAACTCGATGTCGAATTATCCTCCTTGCCTCTTGCCTCTTCTTGTCTTCACAAAAAACTATAAAAACCTTGATAATGTCTTTTTGGGCGAGCTGGACCTTTTATAGGTTAAGTGAAATTACCCCCAAACTTCCAAGTTTACCCCTGAACTTCCTGCGCTCCGGATTGACTAGCGCGGCCGCGCTCGAACCGCGCTAGTGGCCGCGCATATGGCATAGTGTACTGTCTCGTTTTCATGCTCTAGCGCGGTCGCGCTAAGGCCGCGCTAGTGGCCACGCTAGAGTGACTCAGCATTTTCTCTCTTCTTTTCTTTCTTCTTTCACACGTACTCAGCTCCGAGGGGCTTCCCTTGCTTTAATTTAGCTCCAAACACTGTCCTAAGTCCTCATAAGCACAACTTGCTCCTGCAAAACATGAAATTCACAATTAGAGCCATATTATCGTCATTTAACCTTCGTAGAACAGTGAAGCATAGTCAAGTTGGGACATAAATAGTCACCAAACTACATGAATCTAGCCTATTATCAGCTAATATTAGTAATATTTTATGAATTGGCCAATTTTTGTAATAAGCTGCTTATAAATAGACATAGCTGGTAGTTTCCCAAATCTTTAATTTGTAGAAGTGTGAAACTTCTCCTCTAATAAAAGAATATGTCAAATATGAAAGAGATCTTTATTTTCCTTTTAGGAGAAGTAAATCAATTATAGTTAATATTCTGCATTTTCTTCAAATAAAAGAAAATTCCTAATATGATTTTTTTTTTTTTTTTAAAGGCAAGCTCTAACAATCCTTCCATTTGATCAAAGACATTGGAGCCGAAGTAATTCAACTAACTCAAAAGGAGAAAAGCGTCAAGCATCCACAACTATAGCTCCAGAAGGCTCTAGTTCTATGAGTTTTTACCGAAGGTATTACCTATATTGAGTGAAAATAGTTGTCAACGCCTCTTAGCTAAGATCAGCTTGCTTAACTAGTAAGAAATTCCCGTAATTTGTCTCAGTAAACAATGGATTTTGGTCAATCTAATTCTAGAAATTGAAAAGTCAAGCCTCCACCAATTTGGGAGCTGGCACACCAAATCCATTCACAAACACATATGACACAGTACGATGCATTGAGACAGTCCAAAATGTTGATAGCCTAATCAAGAATAAGCTATACTAATTCCAACACAAAAAAGCAGACAACATCATGAACAAAAAGGTAGATTATTGCTGACATCATTATTATGACATGTGAATAACACCAAATTTGCTAGTCAAAATTGAGCAACTTTACCCTCCGCAAAAACTTTTGATCTAATATTATCCCAAAGTTAGGAAAGTCTCATTTTTACCCTTGACCTTTAAAGGACCTTCAAATTGACAATTTGATGGTGTTTCTAAATCATATTAAAAGGTGGAGGGATAAATTGGGATAAACCCTTTTTCGAAGAATATGGACACGTGGAGTCAACCCATTTCATTTCATGTTGGAGCTCCATAAATAGTAAGGGCAAATATGAGACGATTTGCTAACGATAAGGGTATGAATGAACCAAAAATGTAATAGTGGGCAAAATTGAGTAACTTCGTATAGCACGAGCAAATTTTGACCTTCATGACAATAGACATTATTGGGCAAAAAGAATTCAAGATCATAATTCATGTAGCATCCCCCTGACAATCTCATAATCTGAAAATTACATATAGTCTATAATCAGCACTAAATTGAAGTCTGAAAGTGCAATGAGAAATTAGGATGCCTTTGCCAACTGATACTGCTGTGAATGCCAAGCCACAACATCTTTGTATGATAAGTTACCTCCAAATATATTCAAAGCACTGCCTACTGTGACATCCACACGCCCCATCCCTGCAACATTGATCTTTTCCAGATCATCCATTATAGTAACACCTCCGGCATATGTTACAGGAATCTGATATGAACATGATGATAATTAGGTCACATAACATATTAAAGAAATTGTATGTTAGCAAACTGAACAGCTGTACAAAGGTAAAAGTGTGCAACGAAAGGTTCAATGATGTTTCATCATAGCCCATACATGCATTAGGATTGAGATTGCACACATCCTCTCAGGATATTTCTGCATGGGAGCTAAATGAGTATTATAACAACGTAACAGGTCTCTGCGCTTAAAGACAGATCATGATTCGTCAACCTTTCTATATAGTAAACGCAAATGAATGCAGGAAAAGAAGTGTTACTGCCATGTCTAGATGAGCACTGTCTAATGCAACCAATTTATACCGTCCCAAAAAATTGAATGAATTAAGAAAGGATAATGGGGAAAAAATGTACACATAGGTCAAGAATCATGTCAGGCACTTACAGGGGAGTACTTGCCGAGCAATGCCACAAGTTCCTCATCTATTCCCAGCCTGAGGTACAAAAGAAGCAGCACGTTTGCTTAATGAACAATGACACAAAAGCATGTCCAATTTAACTAATCCATTGTTCTTCATATTAACATCGCATTCTAGTGTGTTATATTTTGAGAATGCTGCAGAAGGAGATACATGTAACAAAATTCAAGATCTTCACTTTTTCTTTCCAGCGATACTCAACAGCCAACAATTATAGTGGATTACAACAGCATACTTTTCTTCAAGCAGAGACAAAACAAGACACTTAAAGGTTAGTAGTATGCTTATTCAGAATTGTTGCTAGGGTAAATGGTTTGCCTTCAAAAAATTACGGGAACAGTTGACATGGTTCTCTTTTCTCTTTCTTAAGCATATAGGTAATAGCTGAACCAAATTTGTTTGGGATTGAGGAGCTGTTCATTGATTTCTTAAGCATTTTTGGCATTCCGACAACTTGCGCAGTTTTTGGTCAAAATACCAAGCCATAGAACTTTTCATTATCACATCTATTTTAATTGTTGTAGCAACTCAACCAAGGGATAAGATATTGTGCTGGGACTGACTTTTTGCCTTCAACATCAACTCCATGAACCAGAAACTCATCAGCATACTGCGCAAGAAAATCCAAAAGCTTCTGATCGAGATGTACATCACTGAACTTCTGCCATCTGTCTGTAGCAATTACATATTCACCCTCCTGCATGCCATAATTTCAGGTCATCGGTGAGACTTATATATGATAGAAGAAAGGAAACATGAACTGAGTCAATTGCACAAATTTAATCAATGAATCCAGCGTAAGCCAGTCTCATTAACATTACCAATTTGGATTGCCTAGTTCAATAAGAAACATTCTGCAAGTAAATTAATTAGCTGTAACCCTTTAAGAATTCTTGTTTAATCCTACTCTGACATGGCCTGAAATTTTCTTTAGCCTTGCCAGGAAAAGAAGAATTCATATAAGATAGAACTAATTTCCTTAGGTTCCAGCAAAATAAGACGACTAATCTATTTAAAAGCAAAAAATAAGAGAGAGAAGAGAAGAGAGAACAAATTTTACCTTTTTCCGGCAACTAAGATCCAAAACAAGCCTTTGTTTTCCAACAACACGAGAGAGTTCCTTCAGTCTCTCAAGGTCCATTTGCCCATTGTTAAAAACATACTGCATTGTAGTCAAAAAGTATCTAAATAACAATATCTGTATAATATTATTTTCTTTGGCAAAAGAGCCTTCGATGCCCCATTCATCAAGAATCCAATCGAGTAAAAGAAAAGCAAACACAATTTGAGACTATTTTTATTATTCAATGTAGAGAAATAAACGAAGTATAACAACAATTTCTCTGCAAGACTTGGGGAAAAACCCCATCTAAGAACACAAGAAATTCAAAGGAAATCATAATCCCTATGCAGTGTTATTAAAAGCGCTCGCTTCTCGCTTTAAGCGATGAAGCGACGCGAGGCGCATGGTTAGCGCTTTTCTGCTAAAAAGGCGACTCACATTCAAAAAGCGTGCGCTTTTCTCGCTTAAGCGAGAAACGAGCCGGTAGAAAAAGCGAGAAAAAGCGTGCTTAAGCGAGTAGAAGGCATCAGCTAGGGTTTTTTTAAAACAATTTGGCAAATAAACCATCTTTTAACAAACAAACATACGCTCTTCAACGATTCTCCAGCGACGACCACTGCTGCTCCAACGACTTCTTCTCCAGATCTCGGTAAGTTTCTTCAACTTCTTCTTCTTCTTCTTCTTCTGTTCTTCTTCTTCTTCTTCTGTTCTTCTTTCAATTTTTTTCACTTTTTAAGCACTCATTTTTTTCCCTAAACGACTTCTTCTTCTTCTGTTATTAAAAGTGCTCTGTTTTATGCTGCTTTATGCTCTGTTTTCTGCAATTTATCAGTGAATTAATTGTTATTTTTTTTTTTGGTTGTTGATTGTAGTAAATTTAATTGAGGATTATTCACTATCTAGTTTTAGTATCTATTATTTGCTTCTTGATTCAAGAATTGAAACATTTGCTTAATATGTTATTTTTAATGAGTTCTTAGCCATTAATCTATGCCTATTTATTTTTTTTATTTATGTGTTAAATTGCGCTTCACACCAAAAAAGCGCGCGCTTCGCTTCGCGCTTCTGTGAAGCGAGGCCTTGTCGCTTTTTTGCGCTTAACGCTTTCCAAAACAGTGTCCCTATGCCAATGTTATACAATTCATCTTCAAAGCTTTTTCCTTTCCCTGAATTTATCTATTGATTCTAGCACTTATTAATGCTGCAGATTTCAAGATTTTATTCTGATTGGGGACATTAAGGCGCTTTTGTTGGGTCTTTTGGCATTTAATACAGTTCTCTATAGCAAGTGTTGCTCACACAGACTGGTCCTTGGTTAAATTCCAAATTATTTTCTGGTCAACAGGTTGTGTTTTGTCGATCAACCTTTTTATTTATTTATAAGTTGGCAATTAACTTCTATAAGAGAACTGCTATCATCCTTCAGTATCAAGAACAAAAGGTTTAACACAAAATGCTATGTAAGGCCCTCTCCTCACTCTCGCTAGCCTCTACCCCAGCTTCTTGTAATTTCTCTCTTTTAATTCCGCAACTGATGCTGTTTCAACAGCATTTCTGCAACCCAACCACCTTCAAACAGTAATCTGTTATTACTTTCATCGTTTGCTTCCAGATCAACCACATGTTTGCTTTAGCTCTTCCATCTCATACTAGTTTGCTTCCAGCCAATCCAAATGTTTATCATAGTTAAACCAATCCTAAATTTAACCTTTTAGAGCTGGAAAAAATGGTTCCACCAGAATTTTATTCGATCTATTAGAAAAGTGCAGATGCACATGCTGATTCAGATTAAGACGGACAATGACTCCTCCATGCCCAGCCCCATCCAACCAACAGACATGGGGAGAAGTGTGGACTGTTTAGTGAATACATACTAATATGAAAAGATCAATTCAAGGATTAGAATAGGCCTTCATCTGCTTCCATTCCCATGAAATGTGCAATATTAGTCTATTAGAAAGAAATCATATTCAAGGTGGTAGGCATTTCAATTTCTTTATTAGATGCAAATTTGTACAAGTATTTTAATGATCGGTAAGCTCAAGAGATAAATGACAGTTGTAGATCCTACGAAAATGTAACATGAAAGAATGGCTCAAAGGATTGCTGCTTAAAAGAAATTACTATTGAAAACATACTGATGTGACAATGGCATGGCTGGCTCCTTCTTCAATGTAACTTAATGAATTTTCTGATATGATTTTACCTCCAACTTGCAACCCACCTAGATTTTTTTTTATCCTCAAAGGAGTTCACCAGGGGAAAAATCTGTGAGATGAAATATCGTATCAACCCTATTCTAAGATGCTCACTGATTCCAGTAACAGAAATCGAAGCAAAGAGTTTCTTGGTAAAGTTGTAATCGAGGGGGTCAACAGCTTAAATTTCAAACGCAGACAGATAAATGTATCAGTAACCAAGTAATAATGAGGATTCGTGCTGCACATTCCAACTACTTCGGTATAGAGTTTAATTGAGTCAATTGGTGCCTAAACACACAATTTAGATAAGCTTGGTCTTCCAGGAAAATGGCATGATAGATAAAAATGTAACATGGAATTGAAAGAGCACAGCCGAGAGTGGAGGAGTCTGCGCTATATGAAAGTACCAAAAAAGGTGCAAGGCAAGCTGTAAATAAAGATTGTGAGACCAGAAAATGCAAGGACCACACATATGGACAATATTAGAAATAATCAGATCAGACAAAATGCAGAGTAGCACAAAGGACAAAATGAGAGAAGGTGCTCTGAAATGGTATGTCCAGTCTTAAATCAACCTTCATATGCATCTGCCAGTTGGTGCGGCAATATGATTGTTAAAGATGATAAAAGCTAATAGAATAGACCTACATGAAACATAGTCATCTCAAAATACCTACATTCTCCTAAAATCAATGAGAATTTAGCTAAAAACATAATATTGCGGAAGTAGAAGATCCATATGAGCTGTAACTAGTTGGGTTAAGGCTTAGTTGTTGACTTTTATTACACTTAAATTAGATGCGGTGTTTGTTAGGATTCTTCTTATTCTGGTAAGAGATGCATATGTTCAAATAGGGATAAGAGTGAGATTTAGCAAATTTTAGAGAACCAACAATTTGTCTTCTATTACTGAGCATTGGAATGAAATAAATCTACATATAGTGGAAATGATACAGCGGACCCTAACTTACTGCTTGTTGTTAGTGCTTTTTTTCATTTCTCCTTGAGCCGAGGGTCTATCGAAAACAGCCTCTCTACCTTCTCAAAGTAGGGGTAAAGCTGCGTACACACTACCTTCCCAGATCCCACTTGTGAGCAAAGGCGGGTCTAGGATTTTTAGTCATGGGTGCATTACCAAAAAAAGGAGGAAAAAATGTATTAAGTGGGAATTGATCTCTATTCCTCTTGGTAAATAATTCAACCTTCAACCAAGTACCATTCAACCTTTTTGGAGCATGGGTGCCAATAGTTAATATTATACCAACTTTAGAAAATACGTACATAAAATATCTAATTTTGCGAAGAGACCATGGGTTCACGTGCCCATAGTCTCCCTTATAAATCCGCCCCTGCTTGTGAGATTACACTGGTTTTTGTTTTTTGGTTGTTGTTGTTGTAATAGCAGATGTGCATGATTGTGATACTCAGATATAGCATCTGCGGCTACTGTGAAGTTTGACAGAAGTTTTCTAATAATACTTATAACAGTCTATAACAGCATCAAATCACATTCTCCTTTTTAGAAACCTCAAAAAGTAAACTCTTAAAGATGGTGCGAGTAGTATGCTTCAGTGTAATTTGATTGCTTTCATTTTGAGAAGCTTGTAAATCTCACCCAAAAAAAAAAAGAGAAGCTTGTAATCTCTATAACATCAAAAACTAGAATAAACAGAGAAATACATTGTTATGACGCAGAGGTCAGACAAGAAATATTGGAACAAAAATGACAATTACTGTTAAAGGAGCAAGAAAAAAGAACACTAATTACCAGGGTAAGCATGCAATGCCTCAATTGCAGCTGATATGCTCAAAGGATCTACTCCAAGCATAATAACATGACCACCTAAAAGTCCATCATCTCTGTAAAGCTTCGCATATTCTGCAGCTGATTTATCAGATTCAAAGTTAGTGACCAGACTCGTATTTCCCTCCTTAGAATCTCGTAGAGTGGATCCAACAATTTGTTAAACTTTTCCCTGAAACACAACTTAATTTTTGTAAGTATTCAGTAGATTGAATAATGTGAACTTAGTAACACAAATTCTGAATCAAGTGCAACTCTGGCCTTGTCAAGTAATCATCACAAAGTCGAGTTATTAGCCTAAATAACTACCAATATCTTTTGCACTATTTTTTTAAAAAAAATTCTTTTATTTTCTTTTATCCTTTTTTTTTTTTGACAAGGTACGTAATTTTATTAAAGAAAGTATCAAGATGGTACAGCAAAATAGGTATAGCATTAGTACAATCATCTAAATGAATCTAAAAAGTCTAAAACATCTGAGAAATCTTCTACTGCCCTCTCCTTACGCCAGTAAAACAAATTCTCTACGCATTTATACTTCACAACTGCTATCTATTTCGTTTCTCAATCAAAACACCCCCTATTTCTTTCCAACCATATAATCCATAAGATGCATCGGAGGTGTTCTCCGAATTTTGTTAACTCTGCACATTTCTTGGCATCACCAGCTGCACTACAGTAAATCAGAAAGTGATTGCTGATTCTACTTTCTTCTCACACAGATAACACCTCTGCTGCAAATTATAAATCCCTCCTCCGGAGCAAATCTTGAGTTAGACAGGCATTTATTGCAGCAATCCGGAAAAATAATGATACTTCTGATGGTGCTTTCGTTTTCCATATCATAGGCAATGCCTTCATCCAATTATTCAAATTTTCGCGAAACACGTTACAGCAGCTACTACTACTACAACAATAACAACATACCCAGTATAATCCCACATAGTGGGGTCCGGGGATGGTAGTGTATACGCAGACCTTACCTCTACCTTGTGGAGATAGCGAGGTTTTTTCCAATAGACCCTCGGCTCACGGAAGCATAAGCATCACATTAACGAATTAATGAAAAGAAAAACAAGAAGGGACAACACCGAGAAGCCATGTAAAAGCAGCATAAATAACAACAAGATAGTAAGATAACCGAAATACAAGAAACGACAGGTAGATACAGAAACCTAATACCAACAAAATACTAGAGCACGTACTAATACTACCGGTATGAACAATCTAGACTACCTAACCTACTACCCTAATCCTCGACTTCTACACCTTCCTATCAAGGTCATGTGCTCGGTGAGTTGTAGTTGCGCCATGTCTTGCCTAATCACCTCTCCCCAATTCCTCTTCGACCTACCTCTACCTCTCCTTAGGCTCTCCAACGTCAACTCCTCACGCCTCCTTAGCAGAGCGTCTGTGCTTCTCCTCCTCACATGTCCAAACCATCTAAGCCTCGCTTCCCGCATCTTGTCCTTAATAGGGGCCACACCCACCTTGTCCCAAATAACTTTATTCCTAATCCTATCTAACCTGGTGTGCCCGCACATCCATCTCAACATTCTCATTTGTTACCTTCATCTTCAGGATATGAGAGCTCTTGGCTAGCCGACACTCAGCCCCATACAACATAGTCGATCTGACCACCGCTATATAAAACATATCTTTAAGTTTTGCTGGCACTTTCTTGTCACACATAACTCCGGAAGCAAGTTCCGTTTCATCCATCCCGCCCCAATACGATGTGTTACATCTTCGTCAATCTCTCCACCCCCCTGTATAATAGACCCAAGGTACTTAAAGCTACCTCTCCTAGGGATGACTTATGAATCCAGCCTCACCTCCCCTTCCACTCCCTGAGTTGCACTACTGAACTTACACTCCAAGTATTCTGTCTTGGTCCTGCTCAACTTGAAAACTTTGGACTCCAGGGTTTGCCTCCACACCTCTAACCTCGGGTTAACACCGACTCATGTCTCGTCAGCAAATAACATGCACCATGGCACCTCCCCTTGGATGTGGCACGTCAGTACGTCCATCGCCAGGGGAAACAAAAAAGGGCCGAGTGTCGGCCCCTGGTGCAACCCCATCATGACCGGGAAATGGCTTGAGTCCCATCCCACTGTCCTCACCCAAGTCTTCGCTCCATCATACATGTCTTTAATCGCTCTAATGTAGGCCACAGGTACACCTTTAGCCCCCAAATACCTCCACAAAACCTCCCTCAGGTACACTATTCTATCAATCTCCTAACAAGGTGAATGGCTTCCGTAGTCGAATGCCCCGGCATAAAACCCGAACTGGTTCTTGAAAATCAACACACTCCTCCTCGCCCTTAACTCAACCACCCTCTCCCAAACTCTCATAGTATGACTAAGCAACTTAATACCCCGATAGTTGTTGCAGATTTGGATATAACCCTTGTTCTTGTATAAAGGAACCATCGTGCTCTACCTCCACTCTTGGGGCATCTTTTTCGTCCTAAAAATGACATTAAATAACCTAGTGAGCCACTCTAAGCCCGCCCTGCCCACACTCTTCCAAAACTCCACCAAGATTTCATCTGGCCCGGTCGCTTTGCCGCTTTGCCCCTACTCATCTTACGCATAGCCCCCACGACCTTAACTCTAATTCGCCTACATACCTAAGGTAAGAACGACTCTCGGAGGATTCCAAATCACCCAAAACAATATTTCTGTCCTCCTCGTTCAAGAGACTATGGAAGTAAGTCTTCCATTTCCGACGGATATGCACCTCATCCAGCAAAACTATACCTTCTTCGTCCTTGATGCACTTCACTTGGTCCAAGTCACGGATTTTTCGTTCTATCACCTTGGCTAGCCTGAACAGCCTCTTATCCTCGCCTTTACCCTCAAGTTCTTCATTTAAACGACCAAATGCTGTAGTCTTCGCTGCCGTAACTGCTAACTTCGCTTCCTTCTTAGCCAACTTGTACCACTCCCTATTCGACTTGTTCTCCTCCTCGTCTATGCTTTCTACTAGCTTCAGATACGCCGCTTTCTTGGTTTCCACCTTTTCTTGGTCCTCTCAATTCCACCACCAGCCTCCTTTGTGACCACTAGAGTAGCCCTTCAAGACCCCTAATACCTCTCTAGCAACTTCCTTGATGCATTGCGCGGTCGTGGTCCACAGAACGCTCGTGTCTCCACTACTCCTCCAAGCCCCCATAGTCAGCATCTTAACCCCCAACTCCTGCGCTTTGTCTCCAGTGAAGGCACCTCACTTGATCCTAGGTTGGCCTAACAACGCCCTCTTCCTCTTCTTCCACTTGATCTCAAGGTCCATGACCAGGAGCTTATGAAGGGTCGTGAGGTTCTCACTAGAGATGGCCTTGCAATCCGTGCAAAGACCTTTATCGAACTTACTGCAAAGTAGATAATCAATCTGGTCCTGGCCACCAAGCTCTGCAAGGTGACCAAGCGTTCCACCTTCTTCGAAAAACTCAAGTTTGCTATCACCAAATCAAGCGCTCTAGCAAAATCCAGCAGTGAAGTTCCTCCTCCGTTTCTATCTCCAAACGGCACATCATCATAACCCTCAGACTTCGTTCCAATGTGGTCGTTGAAATCTCCTTCAATAAAAAGATTCTCTGTGCGCGGTATACCATGCACCATCTCATCCAAATCCTCCTAGAAACGCCTTTGGACTTCCTCATCCAAGCTACTTGGGAGCGTACGCATGGATTATGTTCAAAGTAAATCCACCCACTAGCTTAATAGTCATCAGTCTGTCGTTCACTCTCCTAACCTCCACCATTAGTTCCCGGCTATGCTGCTCGGATCTCCGAAAATGTCGTTGAGTGTGTGTCGGATCCTCCAAAAGTAGTGCATTTTTGAAGTATCCGACACGGGTGCATCAATATATTTGGAGAGTCGCCGCAACATAAGTTCCCGGAGGTCCTTATCAGCTAAAATACCTACCTCGTTCCTGCCTCCCACACTCCCAGAATACCATAGTTTAAACCCGTCCACATCCCGCGCCTTAGCTCCTATCCATCTAGTCTCCTGGACACAAGCTATATTAATCTTCCTCTTTTGGAGAATCTTCGCTAACTCTATAGACCTTTCCAGTTAAAGTTCCTATGTTCCAAGACCTAACTCTCAGCCTGGTGCCTCCCTTAGCCCTCTTACCCCCTTGCCCCCCGCACCCCATCCCCCGCGGTGGCTCCCCCGAGGACAAGACCTCGCCCTATCATCGTTCACCAAAGCCACTATAATCTAAGGGACACTACGCAAGCACTACCCCCAAACAAGCGACGGATTAAAAATAAAAGAAATTGCTGAAATATAATCTACAACTAAAAGTCACTAAAACAGGCGGCGAATTAAAATACAAGAAAAAAAAGAAAGAAATATAATCTACAACTAACTGTCACAAGAAACAGGCAGAGGCAGAACTAATACAGAGTAAACTAGAAATAGTGATATACGCGAAAGCACAAACAAACAAAGATTCAAGATAAAAGTATAAACGGGTAAGCAATGCTCTTGCTAATGCAATGTTACAGCAGCTACTAACGGTAAAATTCCTTTTATTATTTGCCAGCCACACCTGTGTATCTTTCTTTCTACTGTCCAGCTTGAAGGGTTCTAAAATAACCAACAGTTGTTCTCATCTAAACCAGAATACCAGACTATTTTAAGTCTTCCTACATTATGACAATTTATGTCGCACAGATTTCAGTCATTCTATCATTGCTAGCACTTGAAACCAGTAGAAATAACTTAAATAGTGTAACAAAAAGACTACCAAACCCCTGCATTGCACTCATCTAACATAATAAACCCCAAGAAAAATAGACTAACTATCCCTCAACTGGTTTCACAACTCAATTTAGGGAAGAGAAGGAGACAAACAGGTATTAGGCCTTTCCAAGTTGAAACTTAACCTTTAAAAGATATACATAGCTCAAACTAGGGATACCAAAATGTAAAAGGTAAACCATAAAAAAGGAAACCACTACACCTTGTGTATGTCAATGCAAGGGCGAAACTTAACCCCACATCGTATGGTCAGTCTCTGAAATCCTGTATGAGAACCTGCATAGTTCGAAACAATAGAATATACATCACTTCACCTGATACAGCAAATGATGCTTTTAAATAAGACATACTATCAGGAGGCAAAGTCAAAGCGGGGGAGCAATCTTGCATTCTGCTAAGAGCACAATATGCAGAGTTGACATTTCTCCCCATTAATAAATTGCTGAGATATGATGCGGTTGGAGTTGCTTGAAGGCTCTGCATTCTCGAATTTAGCTTTCAACCGAGTGCCTATCCAATATACATTTTTCAGCTAGTTTGCTTATTTAGAGTAGCGTGGATATAGACACGAGAATTGTTACAGACACAAAAAGTTTGAAAATTAATGGTATAAGACATAGGTTGGACACAACATTATCTTTAACAGGCAGAATAAATCACCCTAAATACCCTTATAATATTAATTTTACAGAATCTTGGATATGTCCTTATATATCAAAATCAAGAACCTAAGCTCCTATATAATGAAAATCCTAGAACAAATATTAACCATTACAACAACAACTAAGCCCCAATCCCTAATAGATTGGGGTTGGCTATACGAATCCGCACCGGATCATCCTACTCCATATAAACTCATCTCAAGTTAGGGTCGGCTATATGAATCCTCACTGATCATCTCACTCCATATAAACTCATCTTAAGTTGGGGTCCATTATATGAATCCTAGCATCTCACTCCATAAAAACTCATCTCAGGCTAATATTATACAAATAAAAATAATGATAAAAAAAAAAAATGAAAGTACTAGAAATTCTTTATATTTTCTAATGACGTATAAATCTTAACCACTAATTTGGAAAAAGTTATAAATGTGTTCCAAATATATTAACCATTAATCAAAAAGAGAAAGAACGAGCCCAACGTTTCAAATACTTTGTATACGATTTCCATTAGATAGGGGGTCGAAGTATTTGATATTAAAACAAACAGAGTGCACCCCTGACCAAATAAATCAATATAAATTGAGTGAAAAAATTACAAGGAAAATTGAAATTAAAAGAAAAAAATATCTATACTAGAGTTAATGGAATTATAAAAAAGAGATCAAACATAACTTACAAATAAAAAATGCAAATATACCATTATTAGGATTTGAAAGGTTTAATCGCACCTTCCTACTTTAAAGGTTTAATCACACCTGAAGTTTTCAAAGGATTTGAAACTTTCTTACAACATATTACACCCATTGCTTTTCTGACCACTTTAACATTTGAAAGAAAACATGGCAAATATATTAGGAATAAATAAATCTAACAAGAAATCTGATCAAAATTTTCAAACATGTGCCAACAGAAATATTTATTCCCTTTTTAAAATTCCAAAAAAGTTAATATATATAAATCATAATTCTTTAATTTCAATTTTCCGTTTGATTACTTTACTTCAATTTATTTTAATCAACTTATATATGGATACAATTTCAATATTTTAAAACCTAACACTTAATTCTTATATAATAGAAATCCTATAGCCGATATGTTTGTGTAGTATTTCCATTACACATTGGGTTTGTTAGAAAAGTGCCTTGAATTTTCTTTATTCAAAATTTGGCAAGTTGTTTAATGGCAAGTTGTACTAAGTTAACTTGCAACTTGTTTATGTCGAGAGCAAGCTCCTTTGCTGGAAGTTCGAGGGGAGGTAGAGAAAGCCACCATACCACCGAATTCCTAGTAGATGCATTTACTGCAAGCCAAGAGAAAGGTTCTATGCTGCTATAATAAAAATGGAAGGTGGAGTGCTGATCCAAGGATGGGTAGATTCACAACTCAGAAGTTCCTAAAAAAATCATACATAGGGAGAACAATTAGGAGAACTCAAAATAAAATAACAGAAGTTGCCATGAAGTTGGGGAACTTCAAGTACTATGAGAATGAGTTGATCCACGGGAATAGAAATTCAAGCGCAGGTGGAGATTTGTTAGAAAAGTCAAACTTGGCAAGTTCTTGGTGGTAACTTGTGTGCAAGTTATACTAAGTTGGCTTGCAACTTGTTTATGACTTGAATAGTTTTATTTAGAAACCTCTTATGATTTAAGAAAGAGGAAGAAAACTTCAAACTGATAACCTTCAGTGAGGTTAGCAATGAGTCACGCAGGAGGAAGAAAAGTTCGAATTAGTAACCTTCAGTGATGTATGTGATGACATAGCATGAGGTTATCAAATGATATGTTGCAGACATGGTCAGTAGATACTGTTGATTAAACAAGACAACAAAATAAGATAGTAACGACAATAGAGAAATAGTGACACTGAGATTTAGCGTGATTCAGCCATTTATGCTTATATCCACAAATAAGGAGGAGAAATTCCACTATTATACAAGTGTGTATAGAGAGAATACAAATTAGAGACTCCACTTTAGTTTGACAAGGAAATGCCAAGAAAATATCTTGCAAATCCAGTACAAGGAAATTACACATAAGTGTATCCCAACATTTCTCTAATATTTTCTTTCAATTCTACCGTTCTACTTCACAATTCTATCTACTACCTATAATTATAAATAGAACACTCTACCTCTTTGTTATTCCTATAAAGAACTGCATCTCGTTGATCTCGATAATTCAAAATGAAAGAGCAGCGCCCTTTATATAAAAGATGAAATCTCATTGGCTTATGTCTCGCTAATGTCACTGGAGGTTACTAATTCAAAGTTTTCTTCCTCCTACTTGATTCCACGTTGACATCATCTTATCAATTTGAACTTTTTCTCATGCTTGGGTCACCTCTTACATCATAAGAAGTTGTCAATTTCAAACTTTCAAGTCATAAACAAGTTACAATCCAACTTGGTACAACTTCCACACAAGTTGCCACTATATAATAACTTGCCAATTTGAATAGAAAAAATTCAATACGCTTTTTTAACAAATGTCATGGCTTGAATTTTCTAATACAATGGATCAATTCAATCTCAATCCGCTCTTACTTGAAGCTCTCTAACTCATGGGAATGTGTCGATCTCTCTAGAATCGTGCCTCCTATGCAAAAACGTTCTTATGAACTCCTCTGTGTTGTGCACCTACACATGCTCCAGTGCATCTGCACTTAATAACAATACTATTCTCGTGGACTGCACTTCAATTTCTGTATTATGGTAGCTTACTCAATCTCCAATCGAACTTCCCATCAAGAAGTTCCCGCAAAGATAATTTCTTCCCAAAAGTGTTGTTAAGTGATTCTAAACAACTTTCTTGCAATTACTCATTGCATTTCATAAATTTTCAACTAAAAATCTAGAGTGTTCATGGTAGAATTGGGGGTTTTTGGGTAGAAACTAGAGAATTGGAAAATTGGGGATTTAGACCTCGAATTGAGGTCAGATTCCAAAAGCAGTTATATATCAGGGATCAGGGGTGAGTGGGTAAATGGATTTTGGTCTGAACCTCAGGTTTTGACCAAGCGGGCCTGGGGTTGATTTTTGACTTTTTGAGGAAAAGTTTGAGAAATCTTAATTTATGCATTGTAGTTGATTCCTTTAGCAATAATTGTTGTTATTGAGTTAATTGTGGCTAGATACGAGTTGTTTGGAGTTGGATACTAGAGGAAAAGCGGTAACTGAGCATTAAGTGACCCGCGGAGTGAGGCAAGTGTCGTGTCTAACTTTGACTCGAGGGATTAGGAACCCTCAACTTATTTTCTATATGAAATCCATGTGAGCGGCATATAGGTGAAGTGACGAGTATCTATGCGCTGCCAATTTACCTGTTTTGCCTGTTTCTTTCTTGTTCCTCTCATATTGTCTCATTTCATGTCATAACTGCTACATGCTTTACTTGTATTTCCATACTTAATTGCTACTTGTTAGACATTGTTTCTCTTTGCTGAAAGTATTAGTTGTTGTCGTAGTTTCATTGCCTCATATTATTTGCTTGAGTTGGTTATTGGTACTTTCAAGGCATATTCTGGATTGGTCTCGCTGAGTAGTATTACCTGTGTAAAGTCTCATAGTGTATTAGCTCCCTAATTGTTTTGGCTCAAGGTTGAGCCTTGTGAAGAGTTATGTGATTTGAATTATGTAATTTCTGTACCTGCTGAGTAACTGATATTGATATGGTGGGATCAGGTTGCGCGCCACAATAGGTGGAATAAGTGTGATATATTAAGGAGGAATAATGGTGAAATGATATGTACGGTGGGATCGGGTTGCACGCCGCAATAGGTGTAATAAGGGTGGATTGTGGTGAATTAATGGTGAACTATGATTGTGATTATTGTGATATGGTGGGATCGGGTTGCACGCTGCAACAACCCTTATGCTTATATTTTTCCTTGATTGTGTTTGCTGAACGGTAGTCTTAAATTGCACTTAAGGATTGGTAATAGCTGAACACTGATGATATACTTTGACAACTGTATACAATTCTTGCAAGTTACTAGTCTATTTTATCCTATCTTCTTTCTGCTTTTATTATACTTTGTATGCGGGTTATATTTTTATTGCCTCGCCGTAGCCTCGTCACTCCTTCTTCGAGGTTAAACATGGGGTCGATTGTACTAATACTGCACTTTGCACTTCCTGTGCAGATTTTGGAGCAAGTTCATGCAGATCGAGAGGTTGGCCGTAGGATTTACTTGCTTGGAGACCCAAGGTAGTCATTTTGGCGTCTGCATGCCTTAGCGTCCCCTTCTATACTCCATACTTCACTATTTTCCTTATTTCGTAAACAATTGTATCTTTTTTCGGACAAATACTTGTAGTAAAATCATAGAATGTTCGTGAACTGTGATTCCGGATTCTGGGTAGTAATATCATATAATCAAAGTTGTTACTTATGTACTTCCACGTTTATTTTGATTTGTTTTGGCTTTTTTGTTGTTAATCACTGAAGCTTATTTCCAATCACTGAAATGTAAAGGAATTGGCTAATAAAAAACTCTAACGTTTGCTTGCCTAGCAAGTGTGATGTTAGGCGCCATCACAGTCTCGATGGTGGGGATTCCGGGTCGTGACAGTTTTATTGTTAATTGGCTTACCTAACGGGTCGGGTTATGTGCCATCATAACGGTTTGGTTTTTGGGTCATGACAACGCCCTAGTATTGATGGCAAACGAGATAATAGAATAGAGTAGAAGAATGGAAAGGAGCAATGTTATGAACTCTTATCATAACTTTCTTCTCTTCTTGGCTGGAAAACGCCATCTCCGACGAACTTTCTTCTCTTCTTTGCTATTTAGTCACATATAATGATACAAATATTTTGTATTCTGTACAAATTCACACAAACACATTGTATTTTTATATAAATACATTTATTTCCCTATATTTATGTATTTTGAAGATCTGTATTTTTAAATATATCTGAATACATATGTATTCATGCATAATGTACATACAGTATGCATGAATACAAGATACAAATATTGAAATACACTGAATATAAAAATTAAAATAGAACATAATATAAATAGTGAAATATAGTAAAATACACTGAATACAAATAGAAATACAGTGAATAGAACCAATAAAATATAGTGAATACAACAGTAATAATATGTATTAGAAATAACTAAAAGACTGTTAATACAAATACATTTGAATACACTGAATATAAAATAGCGAATACAATAAATACAAACATTTAATCTAATGAATGCAACAATAAAAAAATATTGTGTCACGGCCCGGATTTCCAACCATCGGGAGTCGTGATGGCGCCTACTCGTGAAAGCTAGGCAAGCCGAGTGTTACAGATTTTATTACCTTTTTTCCTTAACCTTTAGCATTACGAGATAACATATGATCAACAGCGGAATAAAAATGCGGAAGACGAAATTTAATAGTTTAAATTAATACAAATACGATTCCATAACAATAATCCACCCAGATCTGGTGTAACAATCTCCCGGACTATAAAGAATACTATAAATAGGGTCTGAACAAAGAAAAATACATGTCTGTATCTGAAATAAGTAAGAACAAAAGGAAATAGGATAGAAAGGGACGCCAAGGCTTGTGGACGTCTGCAGGACTACCTCAGGTCTCCGCTGGACTGAAGGCAGCAACCTCACTGTGCTCCAAATGCTCCAGCACCGGGATCTGCACACAGTGCAGAGTGTAGTATCAGCACAACCGACCCCATGTGCTGGTAAGTGTCGATCCTAACCTCGGCGAAGTAGTGACGAGGCTAGGATAAGACTACCAAATAAACTTGTGCAGTTAAATCATATACGACAAATAATGATAACATAAACTAGCAGTTAAAGATGGGAAGGGGGAACATGCTGCGGGGAATATCAAGTACTAATAGAATTTTATTTAGTAAGGAAGCATAAAGAACACCATAATTTCATATCAGCAAGAATAAGGAAAACAAAAACAAGTGCACGACATCACTCTTCGCGCTTTTACTCTCGTTCTCACCATAAGAATAAATATTCACGTTTATTCTTTCTTATTGCGGCATGTAACCCGATCCCAATCATGTAATACTGTTGCGGCGTGCAACCCAATCCCAATCACATAATGATGTTGCGGCGTGCAACCCAATCCCAATCATATAATGATGTTGCGGCGTGCAACCCGACCCCACCTGTCCACCCTTATTACTCCTTGTTGCGGCGTGCAACCCGATCCCATATAATATTGTTGCTGCGTGCAACCCGATCCCAATATAAAAATCAACTCCAATCGCAAAAGAATCCCGAAAAGGGAATAATAGTATAACAACAATATCCCGGCAAGGAAAACGATATCATAAGCAATAACATCCAGGCAAGGGAAACAATATCACAAACAATAACATCCCGACAAGAGAATCAACGATATATCTCATCTCGTTTCCAAAATAACTTCACAACATAAGTCTCAACTTGAGCCAATGCTCGACAATGGTCATTACAAAGAATACTTTCATATGCCTTGTTCAACATTTATAATCATCATATTAAGCATGGACAATACATAACAGAGTCACAACAATCATAGTATAAAACTCATGGGCATGCTTGACATCAGCGTATAGATACTCGTCACCACACATATACGTCGTACTCAACACTTAACACATAGAAAAAGAGACCACAACTCCTATTCCCTCAAGCTAAGGTTAGACCAAACACTTACCTCAATGCCACGAACACAATCAAGCCTCAACTACCGCTTTAGCTCTCGATATACTTCCAATTTGCTTGTATCTAGTCAATTTACTTAATAACATTAATAAATGCTAAATAAATCAATTCTAATACATGAAGACACCTAATTTCCCCATGAAAACCCTTGATTTTGAAATGAAATCATGTAAAAAGATGTTATAGATTGAAGGAAATAAGGTAGAAATTACTTACTAATGATTTGGAGGAGTTTGTGCCTTTGAAAAATCGCCAAGATGTTTTAGGGTTTGAAATGTTGTAAAACTGAAGAAGAATCCCGTCTGAAATCCCACTTACCAGGTCTTTGATGTGGCAAATGCAATCAGGGGTTCGCAATTGCGAACCCTTGAAAAACCTTTCATCTTTGCATTTGCAATCAGGTCTACTATCTTCGCAATTGCGAAGAAACAGTTGCATTTGCGACATCTGGGAAATTACTGAGGGCTTCGCATTTTCGAAGAAATGCTTGCAAATGCGAACTAGGTTGGCCAGGGCTTCTTTCGCAATTGCGATCAGCCCTTCGCAATTGCCAAGCCTGTTGGGCTCGCAATTGCGAAGCCTGACCTCGCAATTGCGAGATCAGAGCCTGCAACACAATTGAACCTGCAACAACCATTTCTCTAAGTCCAAATTCACTCCGTGGCCTATCCAATACTCACCCGAGCCCTCAGGGCTTCAAACCAATCATGCACGCAAGTCTAAAAACATCATATGGACTTGCTCGTGCGATTAAATTATCAAAATAACATCAACAACTACGAATTAAACCTCAAATTCATGAAATTACTCAAGAACATTGATATTCTCATTTTCTCAACTAATGGTCCGATTTATATCAAACGAATTTCGATTCATACCAAATTCCACAGATTCAACCAAATTATTATTTTAAACTTGTAACGGGCTCTGGAACCAAGATACGGGCCCGTCCCATCCAGAAATTGCATCAATTCACTTCTAATGCCTTTATATTTTCCAGCAAACAATTTTCCTTAAAAAATTCTTTTCTCGGGCTTGGGACCTCGGATTTCAATTCCGGGCATTCGCCTAAGTCCCATATTTTACTGCGGACCCTATAGGACCGTCGATCACGGGTCCGGGTCCGTTTACCAAGAATATTGACCAAGGTCAACTTTAACCAATTTTAAAGTCCAAATTCATAATGTTTCTTATATTTCACATAAAAGCTTTCCGAAAGCGCGCCCGGACTGCGCATGCAAATCGAGGTGAGACAAAAAGAGGTTTTCAAGGCCTTGGGACACAGAATTGACTTTCAAAATGAGTGATGAAAAAGGTCGTCACATTCTCCACCTCTAAAACAACCGTTCGTCCTCGAACAGACATAAGAAAAGTACCTGGGTCGGTAAAAGATGGGGATATCGGCTCCACATATCGGACTCTGACTCCAGGTTGCTGCCTCAAAAGGCTGATCCCTCCACTGAACACGAACCGAAGGAAAACTCTTCGATCTCAACTGACGAACCTGCCGGTCTAGAATAGCTACCGGCTCCTCCTCATAGGACAAGTCCTTGTCCAACTGGACAATACTGATGTCTATCACGTGGGATGGATCGCCGTGATACTTCCGAAGCATGGACATATGAAAAACTGGATGCACGACTGATAAACTCGATGGCAACGCAAGTCTGTAAGCCACCTCTCCCACTCGATCAAGTATCTCAAAAGGACCAATGAATCTAGGGCTTATCTTGCCCTTCTTCCCAAATCTCATCACGCCCTTCATAGGCGACACCCAAAGTAACACCCGCTCTCCGACCATGAATGCCACATCACGATCCTTACGATCGGCATAACTCATTTGCCTGGACTAAGCTGTACAAATCCTATCCTGAATGATCTTAACCTTGTCCAAGGCATCCTATACTAGATCCGTACCCAACAACTGAGCGTCTCCCGGCTCAAACCACCCAACCGGCGACCGATAGCGCCTACCATATAATGCCTCATAGGGAACTATGTGGATGCTCGACTGATAGCTGTTGTTGTAGGCAAACTCCGCTAAAGGCAAGAACTGATCCCACGAGCCTCCAAAGTCAATAACACAAGCTCGGAGCATATCCTCCAAAATCTAAATGGTACGCTCGGACTGTTCGTCCATCTAAGGATGAAATATTATGCTCAACTCGACCCGTGTGCCCAACTCACATTGAAGTACCCTCCAGAAATGCGAGGTAAACTGCGTACCTCGGTCGAAAATGATAGACACGGGCACTCCATAAAGACGAACAATCTCCCGGATATAAATCTCTGCTAACCTCTCTGAAGAATAAGAGACTGCCATAGGAATAAAATGCGCTGACTTGGTCAGCCTATCAACAATAACCCACACTGCATCGAACTTCTTCTGAGTCCGTGGGAGTCCAACAACGAAGTCCATAGTGATACGCTCCCACTTTCACTCAGGAATCTCAATCCTCTGAAACAAACCACCAGGTCTCTGGTGCTCGTACTTTACCTGCTGACAATTCAAACACCGAGTTATATATGCAATAGTATCTTTCTTCATTATCCTCCAGTAATAATGCTTCTGCAAGTCCTGATACATCTTAGCGACGCCCGGATGAATAGAGTACCGGGAACTATGGGCCTTCTCTAGAATCAACTCTCGAAGTCCATCCACATTAGGCACACATACTCGACTTTGCATCCTCAAAACTCCATCATCTCCTACTGTAACCTGCTTGGAACCACCGTGCCGCACTGTGTCCCTAAGGAACACACAAATGAGGATCATCATAGTGTCAATCTCTGATACGCTCAATTAATGAAGAACGAGCGA